GAAAAATGTATTCGACACATTGGTGGGCACGATTCTAGATATCGAGGGGAAGACAAAGGACACGATCAAAGCTCGTCTTGATTTGGAAAGAATGGGCATACGAAGGGGTTTATGGATGAATAGGGACAATGATAAAGCTAGAAGGGATCTTGCATTCTTTTCTATGAAACCGAATGACAAGAAAGAGTTTCTAAAGTTTGTATCGTCAGTAAAGTTTCCCGATGGGTATGCTTCTAATATCGCACGTTGTGTGAATGTTGACGGGGGTAAATTTACTGGACTTAAAAGCCATGACTGCCATGTGTTTATGCAACGCCTACTTCCTGTTGGTATTCGACACCTATTGCCGGAAGATGTAGTGAAGCCAATCATTTTGTTGTCCAGATTTTTTTCCCAACTGACGGCGAAAACTTTGCGAAAAACGGACATGTTTCAGTTGCGCCATGACATTGTCCAAGTCCTATGCAAGTTTGAGATGATATTTCCTCCAGCTTTCTTCACAAGTATGATGCACGTGATGGTTCACTTGTCAGAAGAGGCATTGCTTGCTGGTCATGTCAACTATCGTTGGATGTATCCAATAGAAAGGTATATAATCCTTATCGTTTATGTATGCATCATTATCACATGCTTGCTAATTTGTATCATATCATTTTATTTTGGCAGGCTTCTCGGAGAGCTGAAAAAAAGTGTACGCAACAGGGCTAAGCCCGAAGGATCAATTGTAGAGGCTTGGGTTCAATATGAGTCGCTTACTTTCTGCAGAATGTATTAAAAAGATGTGGAGATGGTTTTCAATCGTCCTCAGCGCAATCATGATGGAGGTATGAGAAATGAAAAACTTTCTGCTTTTGCCCGAAGCGCACGACCCTTTAGAGATCCTGGACGCGGAGAGTCGTTTTCTAGAAATGACATGGAGGTAGCGCATTGGTTCGTACTGAACAATTGTGATGAGATCATGGGATACTTATATGAGCATGAAGAGATGATGAAGCGAGAACATCCATCACATTTGGTTGCCCAGAAACACCGTGAATTGTTTCCACAATGGTTTTTGGATTCTGTAAGTTATCAGTGTTTGTTATTTGAGAAATATAAATTGTAGTTTTTAATTTTGTCAGACTAACATATGAATGGTTTTGTATAATATTAGGTGAATAAGTTGAAATCATCGAATTCCCCAACTTACAGTGATGAGTTATATAACTTGGCGTTCGGCCCGATTCGCGCTGAATTGTTCTCGGGTTGTAATGTACGGTGTCAAATTTTTGGCCGAAGCACGAGATGACAAGTTGTGTACGCAAAACAGCGGTGTCCATGTCCCAGGTGGAGGCGAAAGTACGGACATTGATTTCTATGGCAAACTCACAACTGTCGTGCAATTGCTTTACAAAGATCGATACCAAGTGATCATGTTTAAGTGTCGATGGTTTGACACCAACCCAAATAGGCCGGGAAGTGTTAAAATCGATCATGGCTTACTATCTGTGAACATGAACAGAACTTGGTATGATGACGACCCTTATATTTTGGCAAACATGGCAACACAAATTGTGTATCTAGATGACCCTAAAGCCGGAAGCGGTTGGAACGTTGTTCAAAAGATGGATCACAGGAACGTGTATGCTATACCAGAACTAGACCCAACTGACAACAACGTCAACAATGTAGCTGACCAACGTTTAGAATCTTCAATGGAAAATGGGAGGAGGAGGAGGAGGAAGAGGATTGGGAGACCGAAAGTGATGATAGCGACGATAACGAAAGTTATTATAGTTCAGATGATGAATGATGAATTTTTTTTGTAATTTTACTATGTTAGTAGACATATTTTGTATAATGCAAATGTTTTCATATATGTACTTGTTATATCCAAACATTATATATGTGCATAAATGAAACATTATTAAAATAAATGTAATTATAAACCATTGGTAAATAAATATATCCAAGTAATTTTAATAATAAAGTTTAAATTTATTTTGACAAAAAACTTTTAAAAAATGAAAACCATATAACCGAAAAAATGAATACAAAGAAAATAAGATTATCAACAATCCTTCAATTCTCAAATCAAAAGAAAATAGAATAAATCATACTTTCATACAATTAATTATATGTAATGATGAATAATTCAGCTTAATAATATGTGAATGAAAATAACCTTGCGCGACGAAGACATCATCGTCGCGCACATTTTGCGCGACGGAAAATATACACGTCGCGCATACTCTAAATTTTGCGCGACAAATAATTCCGTCGCGCAAACATATATATATATTTTTTTTATATATACACACGTATATATTTGAAATTGACGATCGAAGTAGTTCACTGTATTCACATAG